AATTTAACATTTGGTCTAATTGGGCATATTTCACACAAAACTGGTTTTCAAATTTTTCTTCACAGGTTACGCCCCCTAACGGTTAATACAGAAACTTGAAAGTTATTTCCAGCGATTTCTCTAGACCACTTTTACTAAGGAATTTTTTCTCCTAAAGTTATAGCATAAATAGTTTCTGATTGCCGAAAGATAGGCTTATTGGACCACCCGGTACATATCATACAACGTAATCGGTACTGCAATTTTTGATGCTTCAGGCATATCAGTCGTCTTATTTTTAAGACATTGTTCTGAAGCTATTTTCTTGTGGCATTTTAAAGTAATTATTATTTAAATGGGAATAAGCCGCAATTAAAGGTTAAAGTACGTTTATTGACGAAAAACTGATATTTTCTTGATACCTTTTTACAACCCATTTTATTTTTAAAAAATCGATTAAATAGACGATAGAAGACCACATATAAAACTATAAAAAATGTACAGGGTGCCATTAAAAAATTTAAGTTAGGGGTTGTAACTAAGGGATGAATATTTAGGGCATGATTTTTTCTTCGCTATGTTAAAATGTATTACAAATGGAAGATACCAGTTTTTGTTCCTTTAAAAGATCTCTATTTTGTTGAGAAATATAGCCTGGACAATTTAGTCTGGGACACTTAATTAACAAAAATAAAAAATTAATTGATTTCTTGATTATTTACAATCCGATTTTATTTTTAATAAATCTGTTGAATAGACGATAGAAGACCATATCCAAAACTATAAAAAAATATACAGGGTGCTATTAAAAAAATTAAAGTTAGGGGTTGTAACTAAGGGATGAATATTTAGGGGATGGTTTTTTCTTGGCTATATTAAAGTGTATTACAAATGGAATAGACCAGTTTTTGACCCTTTATAAAATCTTCATTTTGTTAATAAATATAGCTTGGATAAATTAGTCTGGGACACTTAATTAACAAAAATAAAAAATTAATTGATTTCTTGATTATTTACAAACCGATTTTATTTTTAATAAATCTGTTGAATAGACGATAGAAGACCACATCCAAAACTATAAAAAAATATACAGGGTACTATTAACAAAATTAAAGTTAGGGGTTGTAACTAAGGGATGAATATTTAGGGATGATTTTTCTACGCCATATTAAAGTGTATTACAAATAGAATAGACCACTTTTTGTCCCATTCGAAAATCTCTATTCGTTTAAGAGATATAGCGTGGGTAAATTAGTCTGGGACACCCTGTATATTGGAACAAGCAGTTATTTTGCAAATACAATACCAATTTATTGAAATTCTTTTATGTTAATTTTTTTTTAATTGTAACATTTTTTACTGAACTCTATTAGGGATTGTACCAACTAGGCCTTCACAGAATTCAGGGTGAAACTATCTCATATTTCTTGTAATTTAGCACGTAGTTGTGGCAAAGTACGCTGAGGGTTATTTCTTAGGCGTTGTTTCATTTTGTGTCAAAGTGCCTCTATTGGATTAACATTCGGGCTGCTAGAAGGATGTGACAAAACTTTAATGTCATGTTATCCCAACCATATTTGGTAGATTTAGCCGTATGGCAGGAGGCTCCGTCCTGCTGAAAGATAAAATCTCCGAATGGATATAACTATGCCGCACTTGGTAGAGGCCAATATTCAAGGATATATTGATATTTAGCTGCGTGTACTATGGCCTCAATAAAATGTAATGTTCCCAACTCTTTTGCCGACATACAACCCCACCATGATGCCCTGTGAAAACTTTACAGTTCTTTAGAGAAAATCCTTATGGAATGCTTCTCGAATTACACTTTTTGCCGAATCACACGCTTTCGATAATCTCCCACACAGACATCAAATTTGCTTTCGTCGCTATAGATAACTTTGTCCCAGTTATGTTTGGTCCACGAAAGTTTTGATTTAGCCCAAATGTAACGATTCCTTTTTTGAGTTTCCGTCAGCAATGGTTTTTCTTTGGCCTACTCGAATAAATCAAAAAACAGAAAATTTATATTGCAAAGAAGAACCTATCAAACATACCTTATAAAAACTAAGACCGCTTTTGTGGATATATTTGCAACAGGATTCTCTGGAAACATTCATCCCAGTTTCTCTATTCCTTCTAACGGTTATTTCTCGTAGTGTATTTCTTCTTTCCGACTTACATATTCGAATTAAATGCACTCCTTTGAGAAACAGCTTTTGGAGGGCCTGAGCTTTTTCTGCAAACATCAATACTGGCAGTTTCACCATATTTATTAATTATATTAAACACCGTAGTTGTTGCTACAGTCAATTCACTGGAAATTTCACGGATTGTTTTCCCTTCATGGTAATGATGAATAATAATTTCTCGAACTTTTGGATAAGTAGGGTTTCCACGTTCCATTTTTATATTTTACTCGTAATAAAACTGACAGTTGTCTTTATTCATACTCAAATGAGCCATGGCAATTATTGTTGACAACGCACTACCTACTCGTATGTTTGATTTCAAAGCCTTCTTTGTGTCAGGCTGATAAAATTTAAGAAACGTGAGGAAAAGCAAAAGATGTTCCAACATTTAGTTGTCAGCAGTTTTCGATTATCAAACAATTAATTACATAGTATTCAATATAAAATATATAATTAAGCCGCAAAAATAATTCCATACATCATAAAAAATGTTGTTAATTTCATATTCACAATTTAAAAAAAAATTAATAAAAGAATTTCGGTACATTGGCATTATATTCGCAAACTAACTGTTTTTCCAACATATAGTTGTTACGGCTCGTATGTAAACTAAAAAGAATTTGATCAAAATCAGAATTTCATATCACATTGAAAAGTAAATCTTCAATACTTACAATATCTTGTTCAACAAAAAATAAATTAGATCTATGATATTGTAACCTTTTGCGGATCATGGACAAGCTGGCTCTATGTAGAATGTTTTCCAACCTTCTGCTTGAATATGCTGGAAGTAACTTCAAGCCCTTTGGTATTAGGTTGTTGTTTCTACATCTTCGTAAAAATTTGATTGAATTTTGACAATGTGCCAATTTCTTGTATAGAATTTCCAATCTCAGAAAATAACGCTGGGCCCATAAAGTTAAAAGGTTAAAATACGTTTATTGACGTTTCAATTTCCACTTTGGAAATCGTTCTCAAAATACAAACATTCGTAAATACAAACTTTACGAGAACGATTTTGAGAACGATTTCCGAAGTGGAAATTGAAACGTCAATAAACGTACTTTGACCTTTAATTGTGGCTTATTCCCATTTAAATAATAATTACTTTTAAGACGACGCGACGTCTATTTTTGCCTGGTTTTGAAATGACGGGATTGATTTCTTTCCTGTTTTTATCGAGTATATTATCCGCAGTGATATTTTTTAAGCAGCGGCAACTCTCTTAAAAAATTATTTAAAATTATTTAATAGTAACTGATTAACAAACATGCATTTGATATTTTACCTCTTGAATAGATGTAAGAGGCACCAAAGGTCATCTTTACTTCTTTTTAACTCAAAATATTCATATAAATTGCTGCGCTTGGGAATTTAGCGTTTTCCAGGTATATCTTAAAAATAATAATAAGTAATATCGAAAATAGATAAATAAGTTTCCGTTCGACGGAACTATAGCCAGTCTCATCTAGTACAATGACAATTTGTAGATCAGAAAATATTACTTTTCTCATTAGCTTAAAAATAAATACTTAGACTACAGTTAAACAATTTGAAAAACCAAAAAAAAATCAAATAAATCAATAAATACCACATATGAGCTAATTTCACTGCCAATAAAAATTATAAACGCCAAAATTTACAGTAAACAAGGTATTAAAGACATGCCATATTGTTGATCCTTGTTTAACTTACTGTGATTTCTATGGACAAGCTGCTTAATTTTGCATTACTAGTTTCTTTGAGTAAAAAAGAGACCTAGTATAAAAAGTAATTCGTGAATAATTTCATGCACGAGGAAAGATAGAGTGGACGTAGTTTAATTGTTATTACCGTAACAGCAGAATTATCATTCCATCTCACGAGTAAAACTTTAGACACAGTATCAAATGCAGATTCCAATGTTCCCCGTGTCGTCTTTTTGAACGTGTTGCTATTCTCTAATAGACACTTTGAAGTGCGGTTTTCCCTTATTGTACCTGTGACAAAGAAGCCTAGATCCTGCAGTATCACAAAAAGAGTATAAGAAGAAAAGCAATTGTCGAAAAAGACTCGATGCTCTTGGGGTTTGTCAACTTCAGAAAGTAACTCCAAAACTACCTTTGTTCCCAAACTATTACCGGAATCAAAATTATTATGTTGTTTTCCTCCATATATGAATAACCTGTATGGAAACAAAGGCATCATAATTTAAATCCAAATCTTACAGGCTTTCCCCGAATGAACATCTTGCATGAATGACGTCCAAAAGATAGTACCATTTCCTCGTCTGTTGAAAGTTTATGATCGAATATACCAAATTGTAAAAATTTTATATTCATTATATGAAAGGTAGGAGTAAGTTTAGCAAAATGTTTTATCTTTGTCTAATTGAGTATTATCAGACAAATGATGATAGATCGAAATTTATTTCTAAACATGGTTTTCCTCACAATGGCTACTTCCTTAAATGTCACATTGTGGCAAAGTATGATAACCCGATAATATGCAGATACCGATAAGCGTTTCAGTTCAGCTTCATTCATATCGAATTTGTGACGATTGTTTTGTGTTGCATAAGTATTTGAAAAATGTATAATCTGGCTTGTGACTTCATCATCGAAAAATAATGAAAATATTTCGATGGGCGACTTTCCTTCATGGCTGGCTTTGATGTTCTCTAATAAACGATTGTTATTACTTTCAGGATTAGTCGAGAATGCTGGAGTAGTGTTTGTTTCCCATTTTGGTAAAATTTTCGATTTATTTTTATTGGGTTTTCGCATTTTATTGCGAATTTTACTGAGTGGGATATCATCTTCACAATCACTTGCTGTTGGAACGTAAATTTCATATGTTCCAGCAACTTCTGCTCAATATTATCTTCTTGAATGAATTATCATCTAGGTCTTCGTCATCAGTAATTTCATCAACATTAGGAGAGATATATGTAACTTCTACTTCATCTGCATTCTCTATATCAGAATCTTCTTCAATGCATGCAATTAATTCCTTAGTAGTCAAAGGTCGTGTTCGATCATACATCTCCTGTGCAGTCAAAGATCCGAATGGCCGCTTCTGGCTCTGGTCCAACGACATTCCAGAAATACTTGGTTGACTCATATTGACTGTGATAAAAAAAACGAATTTCAGGCTAGACAGATAATTTTTTAAACAAAAAAGATGACAACAGATCACTTTGAATATCGCCTTATGTGCAACAAACAAATATTTTTAGTTCTTATTTATGTAATATAAAGCACCTCACAGTTACGAAAAGCTATTAAATGTGCTTACAATTGCAGTACAGATGTAACTGACAAACTGACCGACGGTTGATGTCGCGATGGCTATCAATCATCACTGATACCGTTATGCGCCAAGGGGTATACGCCCACCCTCAATATTTAAATAAAAATTGTAAAATTCCAAGCCAAGTTCCATCCAAGTATGTGATTTATAATTAAGCGTAATTCGCTGGGTCCAAGTATTTGGAGGTGATACGAGAAACGATCGTGCGCGTGTAGTGGTGAAATCTTGCTACTTTGTTAGGATATTTCATAAGTGGTTATTGAAGAAAATGGGATTTTGCAAATGCTGTGTTATAAATTATAAAAATACAGCAAAAAATAGTAAATTCAAGTTCTATCGGTTTCCAACTTCTAACACAAATTAATGCAAAGAGAAAAGTGGATTTATATCATAATAAAGCAGAAGTAATTAACATAACCGAAATACTGCATTCTTAAGCCCGATTTCGTAATAAGTTTCAAGTGAACTTTAAATTAAAGTTTACTTCAAATTGTAAATTGCATTAATAATCATGTTGGTTCAAATGTTGGTTCATGTTTACAAGTTTTTTTTCAGATTTACAAAAATGCTAAATATTTCTTCAAGTTCCTATTGCGCCGTCCAAAAGTTGGGAGGAAAAGAATTTATTATTTAAACCAATATGAAGTATGTTTCATTGAAACGTTTGAATTGACAAAAGAGACAGTTATGCAATTTAGTCTAAAATAAGCATTAGTTAAAGTGTACTTTAGGTTGTCATTATAAAATCAGGCGTTAACGTCGCTCCAAAATATTGATATGATATGCTATTATTATGTAATTGAGAGAGTAAATTAAATAAAGGGAGAAAGTGAGCTAGGTCCTAGTTATGTAGCAACAATATTTTCAAAATCAAAATTGGAGCATAAATTGATTCAAAATGCACCTGGCATGAGCATTTCAAAAAGCGTGGTCTACAAAAAAGATAACCATTGATTATAGATAATAAGCTCATCAGTTCTGTGAATGAACTGCATTTGAAGAATTTGCAGTCAGAAATTGCAGCCTATTTAACCCGTAACCACAGACGTCCAACTAACTGAACATTACCACAGACGTTGAGTCAAAATGACTCCTATATTTAAATAACTGAAAAAAATTTATGGGGAAAACTAAGCTTACCTCTACCTTATATTGCTTAAGTAGGGTATAAGTATTACTGTTTAATATAATTATGGATGTATTTTAATGAAACGCAATCAAGTTGTAGAGAAATAAATGTAATGCATACATTTTTTGAAAAATTTTGATACATTATTTTTCGCAATATTTTTAACTAAAAAAAAAAACTTGCTAAGCAGTTTTTATTCAAAATTTGTTAAAAACATACAACATAACAATTACATTAATTAGAAATTAACATAAAAATAATATTATGGAAACGTGCAGTAAGTTTTCCCAACGTATATTTTCATTGTGCACACTCCACACAAACCCTTTTGGTACAATCCATACATATTGGAATTTTACAAATTATGCAAAAATGTGCTGTTTTTCGTCTTCTTTTAGCTGGGCAACGCTTGCAGTATTTTCTGACTTCAAATTTTTCTTCCTGGTTAGCACTAGAGCATTCTATTTCTATTTTTAAAACACGACCAATACACATTCTGACTTCCCGACTGATGTGCATATTTTGAAAACGACGTCTCATTTCTGGTTCTACTAGCTGCATTGCAAGTTGTTTATTGAATTCGAAACGTTTCAGCTCCACATTGTCTCGGCACGACTGATGAACCAAAAAAGAATTAACAGTCGAAATATCCAGCATTCTATAAAAAATTGCCATTGGCCAACGCCTCGTTCTTCGACCCGTTGAATAGACACTACACTTTTCATCCAAGCTATCCACTCCCCCTTTTGTTAGATTGTAGAAGTCGATTATTTCCGGTTTGCCCGATTCTCCTATGTTTCCTTCATCATGGTGCATTGATGAGACTAACAAAACGGCCTTGTGCTTCTTTGGAACGTGAGAAAGTAGGGTAATGTCACTGGTAAAACCGTACAAATTAGAACCTGCAGATCTTTCTTTTTTTGGTAAAAAGCTAACTGGAATTTCACGCTTATTTTTTTTCAATGTTCCAACATATGTTAGACCTTTTGATTTTAATAAATTCACTAACTCTATGGAACTAAACCAATTATCAGCGGTTATGTTCCTGTGCGTGCCGAAAATTGGCTTAGCAAGTTTGAGAACGGCTTGCGTAGGCTTAGAATATTTTTTTTCATTTTCTGGCAAATCGAACCCATCTGAATCTTTACCACAATATATATATGCATTATATAAATATCCAGTTCTAGCATCTGTCAACGCCATCATTTTCAACCCATATTTACAAGGCTTTGCTGGCATGTACATCTTAAACCTTGACCGTCCTCGGAATGAAATTAACATTTCATCAATACATGTGTTTGTACCTAGAGTGTAAGCGCTTTGGGAATTCTTAACGAAAGCGTTGAATATCTCGGATATTGGAGCTAAAGGATCATCCTTTTTTCGTGCGAGTCTAGTTTCTGGGTCATCGAATCGTAAGCATGAGAGTATGACAGCAAAACGATTCGAGTTCATCACACATCTAAATATATCTCTGCCCGATCCATCAGTAGCAAAAATTGAACGAATATCTTCGTGATTAGATTTGAAGATAGCTGTAAGCAAAAGCATTCCAATAAAAGCCTTCAGCTCAACAATATCTAAATCCCGAATATCACTTGAATTTTTGTTTTGATATTTCTCCCTCAATTTTGCCAGGCGTAAATTTGAGTATTCAAGAATAATGTGAATAATGCGGTTATCAAAAAACACATTCCAAATTTCTTCTGGATCAGCTTTATGAATTTTTGTAATTTTTATACCCGGACACTTAATTACAATATTATGTTGCAAAGTGCGTGTATTTTTAGAATACGGGGATATCTTGGACCATTTGAAACGGTTTTTTCCGTAAAAATAGTTTTCCACAGAAACTTCATGCGATGGCTCACCTTTTTCTATTACGCCTTCATCTTCACTAGAAAGTCTTTCACAATTATCCTCCATTTCTTGCTCCGAATCGCTTTCATGACCGCTATAAATAAATTCGGAATCTGAATCAGCATCGCTCTCGTTTTCATCGACCTCATCCGCCCATTTCAGCAAAGTTTCTTCATAGTTTGCATCGCCATATCTGATTCTTTTTGATGGACCACCTTTACTTTCGAAATCCATTACTAAAACCTAAAATAAACCGAGCAGATTTATAAAATATGGAAACAAGAAATATAACGTTATCACAGACCTGTAGTCTTTTTGACTCCGTCGAAAACTGAAGTCGTAATAAAATGCAAATAACATATACAAACGACACAGCCGTCTCACTAACCGTTGAATACTGATCGTTGAAAAGGTACATCTACGCCTGGCCATATAGAGTGGGGGGAAATCTCGAAACTCATCACTACGTACTTGCAATGAGTCAAATTGACTCCGCGTCTGTGGTTACGGGTTAATGAGTGAATATGAGTGTAATATGTAGCTGGTACGGGTGGCAGTAAAGGGGACTAAACATGTCAAATTAAAATTTTTGTTCGTTGTGATAGTGTTGAAACAGTTCTGTGTTGTAACAGATTTACTTTTGGACCTAATTCTTTTGAACCAGAAACTCAAACTGAAATTAATGTACCACAAAGTAAATTAAAAATAATAATAAAAAATGTGGTACACCACCAAAAGTTCTTGTGATGAATTTCTTTTCGAAGAGACTCTTACAAGTGATGAACAATTAACAGATCTTGCTGTTCAACATTTTATATTCATAGATATTCCTTAGATAATCTAGCTGAAGTCATTGCAACATTAATATTTTGGCCAGATAAATTACAACAATGCCAGATTGCTTTAAACCAAAATATAGCAATATTCGTGTCATTATTAATTGTACTAAGTTTAAAATTGATGTATAGATGATCATGTGTATTGTTATTCTCATTATACAGGGTGTTTCAAAAAGGTATGTCATAAATTAAATCACGCATTCCGGGGACAAAAATAAATTGATTGAATCCAACTTACCTTAGTACAATAGTGTACACAAAAAAGTTACAGCCCTTTGAAGTTACAAATAAAAATTGTGTTTTTGCATTATCTCCTAAACTACTTGACATTTTGTAATAAAAATGGACACGTTACTTTCTTGTTCTGAAAGCATTTTTCATACAAAAGAAATAAAATCTAAGCGAACATAAAAATTTTAAGGGATATGTGCAGCCCTAAATCCCCCCAAACTTTTGACTACGGTCAAATCAAATGAATTTTGTGGCGTCATTAGTTTAACACATTATTTTTAAAACTTTTTTGCCTCACGTTTTCGAAAAACTAGTTTTTTCCTAGTTGGCCATAAAATTACAATCAGTTTCTACGAATACAATAATTATAAACAGTTCCATCAATAATAGTCAATAATTTGAAGCTATCATTTTTTGTGTAAATAAGATTAATATTAAAAATTTTAATATTTCGGGAAATAGCAGATATGCATTTAACTTTGGCTAAGTTGGATCAGATTAAATTATGATTTCAATAAACTATCGGGAATATCGTAAGTGAATGTCAAGGAAATAGTGCAGCAGCCGCAAGGCGTTATGCAGTAAAATACCCCAATCGAAATACAACTGATAGACGATTATTTCTAACCATTGATCGTTGTTTACGGAAACGAGTACATTCCAACCGCAAGTTGCTGGTAATAGTGGTCGTCCAGTAATGTATGCAACTGATGAAGACATTTTAGAAATCATTGAAGTCACTGGAACAAGTACAAGGGTAATAGCTGCTCAACTAAATGTTCCTCACGTAAGGGTTTGGAGGCGTTTGCAGTTGCTTAAATCCAATCACTTAACAACGGTTCAAGAGTTATTGGTTGCAGATTCTCCTAAAAGGATTGGGTTTTGCGATTGGTTGTTAATGGAAAACACTCAAAATGTTAATTTTATTAGAAATATTTTGTTTACCGACGAGGCTACCTTCAGTAGAAATGGAATAACAAACCATCATAACGAGAACATTTGGGCCGACAAAAATCCTCACGCCAAAAAAACGACTCATCACCAAAGGACTGTCAAAGTTAATGTTTGGGCAGGAATTATGAAAAACAATCTAATAGACCCAGTATTTCTTCCCAACAATTTAAATGGTGATAATTATTTGCAGTTCTTGGCAAACGATTTACGAGAGTATTTGGAAGAAATGAATATTGCAATAAGACAAAATATGTGGTTTCTACAAGATGGCGCTCCACCGCATTACAGTAATGAAGTCCGAGAATACCTTTGCAGGCAGTATCCTGGTCGGTGGATTGGAAGGGGTCGTGACTCACCTATTTCTTGGCCACCCAGAAGTCCAGGTCTTAATCCCATGGACTTTTGCTTTTGGGGGTTTATGAAAGAGAAAGTGTATTCTGTAACAATAGAGAACGAACAACAATTGAAGGTTAGAATAATTGAAGCTGCAAATCAATTTCGTCAGAAAAATATGATTTTTCAGCACATTCGGTTTTCTTATTAAAACGATACCGAATGTGTATTGAAGAAAATGGGGGTCATTTTGAACATTTATTGTAATATCATATAGAGGTTATAGCCATTTTTTGTACTTTATTTAGTTGCACGTAATTTATTTAGTTGCCGTAGTAATATTAAGTTAATTATTGATATATAATACAATAATTATTGTATTAAATAAACTAAGTTTAAGATACTTTATTTGCAGCTAGTATAAGTCTAAAATATTAATAGTGCTAACACCTTCGCTAATTTATGCCACTAGGTGTCGCTTTTCGCAACTGACACATATCGAATAGCATTTTAACATAACATAATATATCTTTGTTGGGTCAAAAAATCGATAAAAAATTATTGTCTTTATGATGCACCTTTGGCTGTTAATGGGTTAATATAACTTCTTACATTATAAAACATTATAGCTTAAACTAACTCCGTAACAATAGCCGTTTTCTTAAATAATATTCGATAGAATTTAGTTGAGCAATGGAAAAATATAGTATGTCATTCTTCTAACCGGTTTAGACGGGCAAAGGAGTTTTTCATGCTGAAATTATAGGTCACTCATCCGTCCGTTTTCTCTGAAAACCACACAGGTTCAGCTTCGTACGTTGTTCCTATTTTAAACTCATTTAAAAATATATAAAATTATTTTTCATGGATATACCAAGTTAACGATAGTATTAAAAAAATAAGATATCAGTAAAAAAAATATGCACAAATAAAAATCATCAGCCGAGCGGCAGAGCGATTTGTCATTATTATCTCACAACCATTAACAAAAGTTTAAATATGCACTGCGCAAAAAATTGATTATCAGCATTCCTATCAATCGGGCATATGCTTTATTTATATTCCGATACCGTCTGAGTTGAGGCACACTTTTTTGTTAGGGATTACCATTCTGAGAAACGTCTGTATTCGTTGGTAATGCCTTCCTTCCCAGTATTTTCCGCTAACAGTTTATCAACGGTTATATGTAAGGTTGGTTATATGTAAAGTAAATATATTATTTTTATTTTTAGAGAAGAGTTGACGTCTTTATAGAGCTTTTAAATGCTGGAAAAATAGAATGTGTTAAGGTGGATTGTGCGGAAACCAACAAGTTACTTAAATTATTAGATACTGTTGTTATCAAACTCGAGGGAGGCACCGATGAGGATTTAGCTGCTCTCGAACAAGAGTATGAAGGTAAATAATAAAGGACACGTAAAGTATCAAGTAATTTCTTTATTGACTTGTTTTATCATGTATATGTTTTATCGTTTTAGAAATGGAACAAAAATACAGAGAACAAAAAGCTAAAGAAGCCGAGGCTGAACAAGAAAAATCCAAAAATCAAGAGATTAAAAAAGAGTTAGAAGGCGAAAATCCAAAACCTGTCGATGAAGAGAAGCCAAATGGTGAAGCAGATGATAAGGAAAAAGATAAGGAAAAAAATGAGGAAATTGAAAAAGTAGAAGATAAGATCGATGCTGAATCTCAACTTCAACCCGAAGCTGAAAAAGTATCTTCAGCAGACATAGAAAATGAGAACACTGAGGAAAACGAGTGCGAAGCTGGAGAAGTTCAAGAGAAGCCAACAGAAGATAAAGCGCCAACAAAAGCTGTTGAAGAAACAGAAAAAATTGAAGAAAATGTTGAACCTGCGGCGATGGATACTACAGAGCAACCAGAGAAAGACGGGGACAAAGTGGTTACTTTTAAAAGTAAATCAAATAGTTCACAAAATTTATATAAGTAATTAACTATAAAATAAATATTTGCAGCTAAAGAGAAAAAACGGAAGCGGTCATACTCTGGTACCAGTAGCGGTTCTTCCAGCTGTAGCAGCGACAGCGAAAATGAAGGTAAAGACAAGGATGGTAAAGAAGAGAATGTCGCAGCCGACAACACCGAAAGAGATAAAGATATACCAGTTCATACTATTGACGAGGACGACAGACTCAAAATTGAAAAGCCAAAATCTCTTCATAAAACTACTTCGATATTCTTAAGAAATTTGGCTCCTATTATTACCAAGCAGGAAGTAGAGGCCATGTGTTCTAGGTAATTAGTACTTTTTTTTTAATATCTGACACCAGACCCGATAAAACGCAAGTTTAATTTAAATAAAAATACATTCAAATAAATAAAAAGCACACATTTATTTTAATTGCTAGCTTAATGTTAATAAGCCACAATTTAATAAATTAAACAAATTTAGTTTTTTGTTACTTAGTGAAAAATTCTTCTAATAATTTAATTTTGTCTGACTCATTTATATTGACAATTTAGACATATATTATACATTTTAAGGTAGACTGCTTTAAAATGATATTGTCAATATTGCTGAGTTGCGTTCCTGGGACGACTTTATTGTAAGATAGTTCATTCGATTATGTGTACACCTAGACGAAGCAGTATAGGCACTATGATTTAATACCTTAAGTTTGTTTTCAATCCGACGTCGCCCGATATCGGATCGGGAGAAATACGGTTCCAATGTAGGTGTACACTAAATGAAATTAACTTTAACTTGATAATATCCGTCAGAAAAATCATAGCATGTTATTCGTCTTTAATTTGTTTAATTTATTAATGTTTGTATTTTGAGAACGAAAATTTACTTATATTTATATAAATATAAATATGTACAATAAAAATAAAAAGACGAATCCACGTAAATAAAATCGATGGGCTGCAACTGTATCGATGCCAGTAAACGGAAAACAAATGTTAGCGGTGGTCGGATGGGAAGACAAAGGACGATCTTCAGTCAATACCCAAAACCTGGAGAATGGTCGATCAATACTCAGCCTAGGCAAGGGGAGACGGAAGCGATCTATTAAAACTGATGTTACTATGTAGAGTCCTGAATATTTTGCTGCCAGCTTGCTAGTAAGATTCGCTATCCGAGGATAGATGGTGTTCCTTTTTTTTTGAGGCTATCTTCTGGATGTGGACGCAAGTCCCTTCGCCTTAGATCGCAGTGTTTCTTCAGGACTTCAAAAGCATGTTCCATGCGTACTTTTGCCAGGTCGCTTAATGCTTCTTATTTACCCAGTTTTCTGCGTAATCCTGTACATTTTGGCATTTGGTTACATTTTTCGTATCTAATTTTCTTCCAAAATTAAGAAGTGTTGGTGAAAATCGTTTCGAATCATGTCTTGACGAATTTATGGCATAGCAAAAATTTGGTATAAATTTATTCCACTCTTATGTACTCCGTATATGTAGCTGTCATTGTTTTTAATACCTTGTTGGTTCGCTTCACTACATTGCATTGCGGTAAGTAAGGTGACTTAAGACTGTAGCTTATGTTGTATGATTTTAGAAACATTTCAAAACTGCTACCCGTGAACCATTATCCAATAAGCCCTTTTATCAAGATTCCAAACTGCATAAATATTTTTGAGCGCGGTGTCGATGATGGGGTTTGAAATTATTTTTTTGTTGGATCTGCGATAATCCATTTCGTAAACCGGTCTTAGACGGCTATCAAGAAAATATTCCCTTTTATAGATCTTGGAAAGATATACAAAAAAAATCAAAATCTTTAAGATTTTTATTTTCTCCGGTCTATTCGTCTTGTAATTCCATTAAACCTTTAAAGTTTCGACGAGAATGGCTTATATTCTGGTAGAATATTCCTATATATTCGTTCCAGTTCTTGATGTATAGTCAATAAGCGTTCTCGTCTAATTAATGTTTCAATATCTGTTGAAACCTCAATACTCCAGGAGTATTGGATTTTAGGAAGTGTAGAACTTCCAAATTTCAGAAGAACTGAAAGAGAAGTGATGAAAAAAAAATACTAAAATAGGGCTAAGCTCAGAGGAACAAATTTAAATGGCCAAAGAGACACTAAATCTCAAGTGAGCGTTCGGGCTAGCTTCAATGCACTGGATTGTGGCTTTAAAGACATAAACAACAATAACAAGAGATAATGAGCTAATGAGACAAGAAAGAAATGAGACCTGGTAATATCAAACGTGATACAACTGAAGAAGGTCACTGGGAAAAATTTATAGAAAGAGAACAATAAGAAGAGAAAAGAAGGGCGCCAACTCAACGATAGTTGAGATTTTGAAGTAATAAATCAATCTGGAGATAATACTCTGAAATACAAAGATACTAAATAATAATCTTGTTTTGCTATGTTATATACTGGTTAGTAGAACTGAAATAAAACTCAAAATAGCAACAATAAATATATTTATAAAAAATGTATATAGGTATATGTGTATAAACAATTTACATATAATGCAAAGCCAAATAACAGTGGTAGTGGATGGTGTACAGATACAATGGGACCTAATAGCCCCTCAACAAACGAATAGTCACTACCACTGGCCAAATAAAATATGAAATATTAGTATAAACCAAGAATAGTCCGTAGGGTAGCCTAAGTCTTAACACTAAGGTTAGTAATTTAGATTTAAATAGTTCTACTAAAATGAGAAATAATTACCGTATTGTACAGATATCAACAATGATAACTCTGTTACAATTATATTATCTCAAAAGTGAATTCTCAATACTCATTATATATATTTAAAAAAAAACCACATTAAATTTATGTCCCTCTCTCAATATCAAATTGTATTATATTAACAAAAATATTATATCAAAAAAAAAGTGAGTTTGGTCAGACTCTGTATATCCTATTTAAAAACCCAATAAAAACATGTAATGTATTTTCTTCTCCCCAATATTTTAGAATTAGATTATATCAAAAATTAAATTATCACAAAGGTATTCACCTTATCATATGCATATGATGAGTTAACAGTAAATAGATAGTAATACAAAAAGTCAAATAGTTAAACAACTTATCTTTACAGCACTATAAGTCCATAGGAAAAACTCCTCTTGGCACGGCTACATCAGTTTATGGCTGTAAAGACGAATCCTGGGCACAAAAGCCACAACCAGTCACTGGTCTCTGGGTGACAGCAAAATCCACGGGTTACATACACAAATTGCTAACTATCTAAGGATTCAAAGTTACTTCAATGAACTTAAATTAATATTTTCACGTGACGGAATATGGAGTCGCAGCACGAAAAAAAATCTTCCTTTTATGTGGAACTCTTTAGATTATTGATTTTAAAAATTTACTTATTATTATTACTAAGATATGTATTTTATTTATGAATTAATTTATTCTTCCCCAAATTATCTTCCTTGCTCCAATTCCGTCACTTTGAAGGTGAAAAATTTCACCGGTTGACGTGGCTGCGTTGAGTTCTGACCAAAACTGAAACTCGCTTTCGCACAACCTCGATCTTCCTTTCAAAGCGCTAATAGCGCGTGGGTGGGGAAATGTCGATTTAAAAATCGATCGTAGGCGGGTAATAAAAATTTCTTAAGGGGTTAATCAGTAGCGTAAACGCTACATTCTCCCTCATCTCCAGCAAAAAAAAAGGAACTTTAGGAACTTTTTTTTTGTGGCAGAACGATCTAACGCTGGGTCGACAATGAACGTTGATACGTTAAAATTGAACATTTTCGTCACCAGTCAACCATTTGCTCAGGAATTGGAACAAAATCAAGGACGAAATAAAAATATGGAACGAAGAATATGAGACGAAGTCATACATTTTTTTCCTTTTAATGAGAAAATGTATGTTAATTTAGTAAAAACCAAAGATTAAAAAGGTATATATTTTAAGTTTAATTCTATAACCTTACAGATCAAGTTAACTTTTAACACTACTTATCTACATTCTCAAGTATTTGTAAAAACAACCATTCGTTAAAACTACATTATAGGTGTGTATTAACAACCCCTAACACAATATCTCCAAGAACCATTCATAACAACGAAATTCAAACAAAGTCCTATGAACTTTACCCAACGTTGACACTAGAGCGACCCGATTCTATTCGTCACCATAGAGTTCAATGAGGGCCTAATTACTCAGGACTAGTTGAAACTACAAACCTAAACATATATATGGTTCGGGATATCAACAACATATTGAAAATTCAAAGTAAAAGATAATACAATACACCTACTTGCTTTAGCAGCGGTAGAAAAACACACAATCGGTAAAGGTTGCTAGTGCCTTAGATACTAGCAAGCCCACTATACTCATGGTATAGGGTATGCTAAAAAAGGTAAGTAAGATAACTGCAATCCCAACTCATAGTAAAGGATATGCACAAAAGGTAAAAGATAATTGCACGTCCAGATCTACTCATGGTAGAGGATATGCACAAAACTCACTTCTACCAGCTATACACTTGGTAGAAGGAAAGATAAAAGAGATCCTAACTGTAATACCTAAACTGTACTATTGGCGTGTTCCAATTCTATACTCACGACAAGAACAGTAAAGGACAGATTTTTAGGACTCTATAATCAAGATAAAGATAAGATATATATTCATAAGATATAGATAAGAAATAAACTTATCCAGGTAAAGGTAAAGATAACTAACTTAATGTAAAGGTATGAGATAAACCAATTAAGGTAAAGGTACGAGATAAACTCAATTAAGGTAAAGATAAAGATACACTCAAGGTAAAGGTACGAGATAAACTCAGTCAAGGTACAAGATAAACTCCATTACAGTTATGAGATAAACTCCATAAAGGTAAAGATAAACTCAATTAAGATAAAGATAACTCACATCTATCAATCCATATCACTAGTAGAGAGACAGGTAAACAAACAGTATACAATAAGATATGTTAAAACTCAAATACTTTCAACGATAATAGCATAGGAGATGACCTCCAAGTTAAACAGACTTACTTACTGCTGAATATCAGAACGATCCAATTCTAAATGACACATTCTGATTTCAACCTAAGAGACACTCAAGGAACAACTAATATTTATTGATAGATTTCTGAGCCAAGTGAGGGCACACATCCAGGGTGATCAATCCTGAACCCACGCTAAAACACCGACACAGTAAGTAAATATGAATGCATAAGCTTTATGGTCATGATCCACAAAACTATACAACACTAATAAAGAAAATATTTGGAATGTTTTCCTAATTATCCCTGTAAATATCTATTCAACTCAGAACTCAAGATGGGGAAATTCCCAT